ACCGAGACATGCATGTATTTTAATTTCCCTGCCTGTGGCAGGTGAGTGACATCCATTTGCCAGAGATGGTTGGCCCTGAGGCCCCGGGGATTTACCCCCTCATTGGGAGAATTATGATAAGGGGCACAATCAGGGCACTGACAGGTAATCTGTGTAGCTATGGATAAGGGGCACCCAGTGTGAAATTTAATGGAGCGGGCATTTAGATGATACCTCTCATGGAGCTGGTGGGCCAGCTGCTCCTGAGTAAATAAGACCCTAGGGCAGGTCAAGGAGTCAGCAATTTCATTGCCCTGGGCAAGGGGTCCTGGAAGGTTAGTATGTGCACGAATAAATCCCACATAAGCAGGGTGGATGCGCTGCCAAATAAGATGTTGGAGCTGAACTAATAAGGAACGAACCTGGGAGGTTGGAAGAACATATGGAGAAGTTTCTAAAGGTCTAACAATGTTGGCAACATAAACACTATCAGTATATAAATTAAAGGGCTCTCCCTCAAACATTTGGAAAGCCATCAAGCAAGCAAACAACTCGGCGGCTTGTGCTGACATCTGTCCTTTGGGTACCCTCTTCTGCACCTGAGAAGAAACCACCACCGCGAAACCCTTGGAGGAGCCGTCTGTAAAGACTGAGCGAGCTCCAACTAGAGGGTTCTCCTTTAAAATCTTGGGAAAGATCACAGGGTGTTGTTTGAAAAAAGACATCAAGGGGCTGTTGGGATATTGGTTATCAAACTGTGCGCCTGTAGATGTAATAAACAGGGTCCACCCATCATGGAAGATCTGTAGATGTTCCACCTCCTCCTTACCATAAGGAAGGATAATTTTATCAGGACTCTTTCCAAAGGTTTGAATGCTAAACTTGTGTGCCTTCCACAACAATTGTAAAATGAGATCATAGTAAGGGGTCACTACCTTCTTAGGGAGGCTGACAAATGTACCCAATAAATAGGACCAGTCTGCCAAAACACGGCAGTGGGCGAAAAGCTAGATGAAAGTACAACCAGAACAAGGGGCTGCCCATAATCTATACGCCGAAGGTGGGCTTGCTCTATACTTCTTAACAACAATTGTAGGGCTTCCCTGGCCTCTGGGGTAATCTGTCTAGGGGAAGTTGGAGCAGGATCTCCAGGAAGAATATCATAAAGTGCTTTAAGAGCCCCTGTTTTAATAGAAAGAGAAGGGCGAAACCATTGCACCTCTCCCAAGAATCTCTGCCAATCATGAAGTGTTTTTAAATTTGAACAATCGATTTGGAGTCTTTGTGGCCAGAGGCCAGTTTGTTGAATTTGATGACCCAAATAAGTATAAGGGGGTCTCTTTTGGATCTTTTCAGGAGCCAAAATAAATCCGCGGACCTCCAGAAGTTCCTGTAGCTCTGCAAAGGCTATGTAACATTGTCTTTCTTTGGCCGCGGCCAAAAGAATATCATCCATGTAGTGGATAATGTAAAGATCAGGGAACTTACGTCTGAGGGGATCTAAACAGACAGCTACATAAATCTGGCATATAGTTGGACTATTAGCCATCCCTTGGGGGAGCACCACCCATTGGAAGCGAAGGGCAGGCTCCCTAAAGTTAATCGCAGGAAGGCTAAATGCAAACTGAGGACTATCTTGAGAATGCAAGGGAATAGAAAAGAAGCAATCCTTCAAGTCAATGACAATCAAATGCCAGTCTCTAGGAATGGCCACAGGCACGGGCAAGCCAGGCTGCAGAGCCCCCATAGGCTGCATGGTCGCATTCACGGCCCTCAAGTCTTGTAGTAACCTCCATTTCCCTGAAGATTTTTTTATTACAAATATAGGGGTATTCCAAGGGCACGTGGAAGGAACCAGATGACCTGCCTCCAATTGTTCTTGAACTAACTGGTGAGCCGCCCTTAGTTTCTCCGCTGGTAAGGGCCACTGTTCCACCCATACCGGATCATCTGATAGCCATGTGATGGGTATGGGGGCTGGTGGCGCAACAGTGACCCTCATCAAAAATGGCCAAAACCCTTCCTATCCCCTGGGGCCCTGGTCTCCAAAGGGCGGGATGCCACAGGGCAAACCTCTCCCTGTTCTAGTTTACCTAGTTCTCTCCCTGGGCTCTAGCCCCTCCCTTGTGTCATCTGGGGGCCCCTGCTTTTGGACTTGGGTGCCTGAGTGGTGAGGACCACTCCCATTTCTTGCATGAAGTCCCGTCCCCAGAGGTTAATAGGGAGGCCAGGCAAAACATATGGCTGGAAAAGCCCTGTGTGGCCTTCAGAGTCTTGCCACTTTAAGATTCTGAGGCTTTTTTGGGGCACAGCCTGTCCTATTCCCTGGAGGGTCACTGTCCCTTCCTCTTTCGGCCAGGTGGGGGGCCAGAATTTATCTGAGAGGACAGAGAAATCTGCCCCAGAATCTAAGACGCCCCTAAAGGACTTGCCTTCTATCTTTAATGTAAGCTGGGGGCGGTTCTCCATAGTGGCTACCCAAAATGCTGCCGGGCCGGTACTTCCAAAACCTTGGTTGCCCCTTTTCTCTTTAATTTTTCTAGCCTCACAAGGAGCTGTAGGGAGAAGGAGTATCTGAGCAATCCGTTCTCCTGCAGGGATGGCAACAACCCCACTGCCCACTGATGTCATTATTTTAATCTCCCCCTCACTATCCTGGTCTATAACACCGGGGTGTACCTGGATGCCTCGAAGAATAGTACTGGACCTTCCCAAGAGTAGTCCGACCGTGCCTGGAGGCAATGGCCCATGCACCCCAGTAGGGAGGGCCTGGATCCCCATTTCCGGTGTTAGGATTGCCCGGGCAGAGGGAGCGAGGTCCAATCCTGCACTCCCTGAGGTGGCTCTAAGGAGGTCTGAGATATGAAGGGGTTGCTCTGGGGGAGAAAATGAGTCCTGCCACTGCCCAGAGCAGGGGTCATTACCCCGTACACATTGGTTTTGGGGCCCTGGGGCGGGGCCCTCCTCCCGTTTCCCTGATTATTATTAGCAGAAAGGAAATTTCCCTCCCTGTCAGTTTTAGAGTAGCAGTTATTGGCCCAATGATATCCCCTTCGACAACGGGGGCATAAACCAGGTCTCTTGAGACCCGTAGTACTATTTTGAGGGCACTCTCTACGGAAGTGTCCCTCCCTACTGCAGCTAAAACATGTTTTTCTCCCTCCCAGAGTAGGTCTTTCTTTCCCCACTTGGGGCCGAATAGCAGCAGCTAACACTTGGCCCTGGATGAAGTTCCCATCAATGTCCCTACAGATCCGGATATAGTCATTTAGACTTTTATTGCGATAGGGGCGAAGGGCTTCCTTACAATATTTATTTGCATTTTCAAATGCCATCTGCTTTATGACTGGCATCGCAGGCCCAATGCCCCCAAATATTCTTTCTGCTACCTGACTGAGACAGTCTACGAAGTCTTGAAAAGGTTCAGAAGGTCCTTGAAGGATTTTGGACAGATGATCCCCTCCTCCCTTGGAAGGCAATGCTTTCCAAGCCCCTTGGGCCGCTGCTGCCACTTGGGCATAGACTGCGATGTCATATTGCATTTGTTGCTGAATGGTGGCGTATTGACCACTCCCGGTAAGCATCTCCACATTTCTCTGGGGCTGTCCGGCCTGTGCATTCCTTTGGGCTGTCTGGCTGCATCTTTCCTGAAACTCACCTCTCCAAATCAAATAATCTCCCCCTGACAGAGCTGCTCTGCAAAGCTGCTGCCAATCGCCAGGTGTCAAATTAAGAGACGCAAAAGATTCCATTAAGGAAAGTGTAAAGGGAGCCTGTGCTCCATAATTTAAAGTTGCCTCCTTAAGTTGTTTTATATCCTTAAAATTTAAAGGGTTATGACGCCTAATGACCTGTCCAGAATTGTTCGGATCTGGAACTTCCATTACTGGGGCCACCACCGGGCAGCATTGGACCCCTCCTCTGGGTCTTCCCTCCAGGTCTGAGAAGGACTGGGTTATCTCATAGGAGGAGTCCCTTTTTTCAGAGTATGGGGAAGGGTTTCTCTCCCTGTCCTGTCTTTCCTTAATTAGAATCTTTTTTAGTTCTTTTTTAAGGGCCACGATCTCAGCAAGTAACCGTTCCTTTTCAGACTGTGACGAGTCTGAGTCTGAGCTACTTCCATTTTCTAGATCTGATAGAGAAGGATATAACTGATTCTGACTGGAGCCCTTTTTGCGTTTTGCCCGGAGACCTCTACCCATTTTTTTGTTGTTACTAAGAGACTCCCCCTCATCCTCACTAACAATGGAGCCTCTAGTTTCAGTCACGGTCTCTTCATCATCACTCTCTGCCCCTGAACTCAAGGAGGCTTGAGTCTCAGTCTCTTGTAACTCTAAAAAAGCCTCATTTGTGTCCTGAACTACCTGGTGGTGACGAACCTTATCTGTCAAAAGTGCTCCCCTCACTAATCTCCATAAGGAGAATGTTGTAGGGGGCAAGGACTCAGATCCCTCTTTTCGTAAAAGTCTATGAAGATCACGGCGAACCTCCTCCCAATCTGGAATATTTAAGCTTCCCCCAGTAATGAACCATGGACTGGCTCGTTCGATGGATTTTAGAAAGCCTTCTAGGGTTTTAGACTTGACTGCAGTCCCATGTTCTTTAAGTAACTTTTTTAGTTGATACTGTAATGATTCTAGCTTCCCGGAACTATTCCCCATAGTTTCTTAACCCCGTCCACTTACCTCGCTTTCACAATCTCGGTGGGTCCTCCAATTGTCACGTCTGCTGCGCGGCCTGTGTCCAAGAATGTGCGGAGGGTGACGGGTATTGAAAACACAGAGACTCGTTCAATGATATAAAGAGAACTTTAAACAGGCTCCAAAAAGGTTCAAGAAAACCTCCTAAGAAAAGCTCCCACCAGAGAAGCTTCTGCTCTCTCCTCTCCCCTGGCTGGTTCTGCTCTGACCCAGAGGTGGATGTGTGTGGGTTTTTGAAGGTGCGGTTAGTCTTTGGACAAGGTCGAGGTCAGGGCGGTTTCCATGGGAAGGCCTTTCCCAGGAACTTATTGTATCGTTTTTAGTAAACATGTTTTTACTAAACATTGTCTTACAGCTGCCTACTCCCAGGCAGAAGGGGAAGTGGGTCTCTGCTCAAGGTCTGGTGTTCCCACAATGTTGTGAGAACTTGTCACAATAAAACAACAGAGGCAAGACCAACGAATGGAATTACTAATCACAACAGCAGCTGCCATGAAGACAGATGGAGGCTAGCAAGCACAAGAGGAACAAACAGGAGTTCTGAAGTGCCAGTACTTCTTCATCAGGGGGAGAGCTCTGTACAGCAAATAAGACAAACCATGACTGACATGAGTTACATAAAGCTTGATTACTACAAATAAAACCCTAATGCCTTGAAAATGGAGCATCAGGATGGCACCTATAAACTAGAACGCACACATGATGGTTCTTCTAGCATCGCTTGAACCATAGCTGTGTCTATGAGGAGGCTTCTAAAACAGATATAACCCACTGCAGACTGTGTCAGTGACAGATGATCATCTCTATTAGTAAATATGTTTTAAATACACAGCCAAAATAAATAAGCAGCAATTCAGACCAGCCCTCATTATGAACACTAAGACTGCCCTCATTACGAACACTACAAGTCATGTACTTGTTAGAAATGAGCAGGCTAAAGTCTGGAGGATCCTGGATACCTGAGGCAGAGCTCTGACTGCTGGAGGATGAGGAGTCGCTCCCTTCACTGGAAGAGTCTGAGCTTCTCTAATTTCTTTCAGAGTCGGACTCTGAGGACTTGGACTCCAAGGAGGACTCTGAAGATGATGAGGCCAGGGGCGGTTTCTTATGCTCAGCTTCTGGTCTCTTTGTCATGATGACCTTGGGTGTATTTTTCAGATGCTCTCATAGTTCATCCTATGCCTCTAAGGTACTTCTAAGATAATTTTGTCAGCTGAAGCTAAAACTCTGCACATGACTCTTACATTGAAGTGAAGAAGTTGATGGCAAAGCAGGTATTCCATGGGTTATCTTGAGGTAACAGTCCTTCAAAGAATGGCTGTAGAGTTCTGAAAAGAAAAAATGAATAAAAAATATAGAGAAAAAATGAAAACTTCTATACCCTCTTACCTGATTTTCTACATAATAAATTAGTAAGTATCAAAAAGTGGTTTATGGGTTTATACTTTAGGCTACCTAAATATAATACAGATTAGGCTACCTAAATAGAATCCATAACAAGAAGCAAATCTGAAGTTCATTTCCTTATAAAAATATTTCTTTGCATTTAGGGTGTGTGTGTGTGTGTGTGTGTGTGGTTGTACATGTGCATGTGTGTGCTCATGTCCACAGTTAAGTGGACAACAGGAGGGAGTTAGTTCTCTCCTTCTAACATGCGTGTGTCCGGGATCCAACTCCTTTCAGACTTGGTGTCCTTTAACTACTGAGACATCTCACTGGCCCTTAGATTGGATTTCTGTAATTATATAATATATATTTAGAAATTTATATAGACACTAGGATACACACAGAGCATAAATATGGCATATACACTCGATTACATGGATATATGCACAAGTATACTTTGTGCACATGCACAGAAAAAATTAAAGTCGTTAGCATATGCATGTAATCTAAATCATATAAAAGTACTGGGAAAGACCAGGAGTTGGCCAATGAATGTCTCATAAAAAAGGGTAAATTATGGGAAGACGACTAAGCATTTGTAAGACAGACTAAGAAGGGTCACTGCTTCTGCAGTCAAGGTGGTAAGGAAGCAAGAGAGAGCAGCAGCATTACAAGTTTAGTGATACTGAGGAGACTAGAGTGCAGACTCCTTAGGAGGGGCTGAGCCTGATAAAGTCCATATTATATGAAACCAAAGAGTGAAGGACTAGGTCAGAGAAAGCCTGCAGACCCAATTCAGGTCTTTTGGCATTGTTAAAGCGAGACAGAGAAATGAAATACTGGGATAATGTGTGGCATTCATAGGATGGAATAGAAGCCAATCATACTGATGATGGGGAATCTGAATAAACAGCGTTATGTAACAGCCCTAAAAACAGACCCCGGAGATGCATGTTTTCCCATGTCCTATAACATGCAGCATGATGCTGATGTTACCCAAAGTCTTAGAGGGCTTTCCACTGTGCGGGGACACATCTCTGCTAACATGGGACATTCCCAAAGACAAGAAGACTAAACTAAATCTGTTAGTAGTCAACTTACCTATCCTTTAACCTTGCATTAAGTTTAGCAAGACTCATGTATTCACACAGTGCCTGGAAAAATATTTTGATAAAAATTCTACTAGGCGATGTAGTGGTGTCTTCACTGAGCTTTATACATTCAAGAACCTGAAAATTCAAAGAGAGATTAAAAAACATTTTTGTTTTTAAAGACAAGGACAAGGAGCTGACCAATTAAGTCCTCTCAAAATTACTAGTAATTCTCATCTTGCAACATTATATCTGTGCCCTCCCTATGCTGACATTTATTGTCTCTTGATGAAGTGGAAGACTGTGTCACTATATTAACTTTCCAATGTTAAGTTGGTACAGAAATAGCATCGTTCTTTTTCTTGTGGAAAGTGCTTTTTATAGCAGAGATGATATCCTGCCTTGAGCATATAACACCAAAGTAAAGACTGCTCACAAACTTCCCTCTGCAGAACATAGTGTATACGAGGGACTAGGCAAATGTCACCAAGAGCATTGAGGTACAGTTTAGTTAAGTACATATATATATATATACAAGAAAAAAGGCAAAATATTATGGATGATGTATCCAGTAAACTAAGAGGACAGTTTTTACAAACTAACTTGTGGACACAGATTTTAGACATAAGCAGAAAAACAAAACCTCTGCTTTTATGGATTGCGTTGTGGACGCCTATTTTAGCCCATTGTTTAAAACTTGCCTTCTTTTTTAGAACAGGGGTAATGAAGCAAAGGATTATTATCATTAGCTGCGGGGTTGCCTTAAAAGTGCCCAGTGAGTGTAGCTGCACATACTTAGGACTGAAGTACTCCAAATATATCCAATACTCCTAAGGGGCAGAGCTCATTCTACCATCCGTTTATGGTATTTTACAACATTGTCTTCCTCTTTTCCTTCTTGCATCCAATCTCTCTATTAAAATTCTTCTAGCAACTTTGCTTCACTTGGAGTAAGAGACATTTTATGGTGTGTGACTATCATAGACTTAACTTTTCTCTTCTTACATGGTAACATTCCTGAAAGCAGGGACCACATACAATGACTCACTACCAAGAATTGTGACTGGACATGCAGGTGGTTGTAAACAACAACATTTGAATGAACAGTGATTATATAATAAATAGTATTCAATTTGGTGCATATTTTTCCATTTAGAATGCCTTTCTTTGTTGTAAACATGATCACAGGATCTCCTCCCTATAACTGAAGCAAAAACAGCCACTTACCATCGTCTTCTAGAACAATCCTTTCCTTGTGTCTTAGTAAGAGCAACATTGGAAAAGCTACTCTCAGGAAATATAGACAGTAATTCTGAGGCACAAGCACCACCAGGTTAGGGGATACATCTGTCTCCTTTGTTATATGGACATATATGCACAAAGATGTCAAACATGAAAATACATAACATTTTCCCTGAAAATATGTCTAGTATAAATACTAAAAACAGCATAGTTTGGGTATGTGTAATCCAAGATAGTATTTCTTACACATGTACATTATTTCTTAGTCTTTTGATTCCATGCTACATGAACATGTTTCAAAGATAACACCTGCAGTAAAACTTAACAACATATTACATTTTAATTCATATTTACTGGTAGGATAAGTATAGTCATGTCATATATTGAAGCCAATAGGGGATTAGGAATGAAGAGCAAATATTGATCGAATTACTTACACTCCATAGAAGTGAATCAGTGTATAAAAGCTGAGCAAACATCTTAGCAACATTGCTCAGTTTGTTTGTTTCTAAGTGATGGATGGTATCATAATGTTCTCTGAATATATTTTCAAATGCTTCCATATATTCTTTTTTCAGCATGCAAACCTGCTGTAGATAGGAAAATTAAAAGTCAACACCAGCAAAAATGGAATCAATACAACTGAATATACTAGTCCTAAATTTACTATATTAAACAATTTTAAAGACCTTAAAAATCATCTATCACCCAATTTTTGGTGTCTTCTCATTTATACCTTCCCAAAGGTATGTATGTATGTATGTATGCATATATGTATATATATATATATATATATATATATATATATATATATATATGTTCAAGTCCCCTCGGAAATGACAGCTAGTCTCTCTTCTAATGTGGACAACTTATCATACTTCTTCTCAGTGACACAACTATCCCCCAAGACAAGCAGAACTCAGAAGGCCTGGCTACTTGCTGGGAAAGGACAAAGAATAACATACAGCCTTGTCACAAAAAATAAATGAATGAACACATGAATTAATAAATGAAAGCACCTTTTTTTTACCTGCCTGGGTATCTCTCTGGACTGCAAAATCTTCATATTTTTATTGAATAAGCTGAGTGTTTTAGTCAGAAAGCACTAGTATTAAAAAGTGTAAATTACAAAATGTATTTATATTGAAGTAATATGTTAGAAATTAAATATTACCCGAGCTATTCATTGTACAGATAGATTGATTGGTTGATTGATTGATTGATTGATATCCCACATAGGTAAATATCTTGCTCATCTACTGCTTTTTAAACTGTGTATGTATTCATTCAGTGACAGAAACACTAATATGCCCTCAAGAAGGTCAATATCCATTGTCTTCATCATGCATATATCTTTTCCCTTTCAGCTCAGTACCATGGCCCATCAGAGCACCTCCTCCCTGATCCCATTTGGCAGTCAGTATCAAGAATGCTATTGATTCTCCATCTGTCAAATTCAACCCACCTTCCATATCAAGAGAGGGCCTAGAGAGTGAACTAAGAAAAGAACAAAGAGAGCAGGCTGGCTTCACCCTGGATGAGATCCACTTTAAAGGGACCAGGAGTCCTGAAGACATGGAAAATTCCCTAGCAGGACTTGCTTCCAGGCTTTGTAGGAATCTGACTGGAGTCCAACAATCAGGAAGGTAACAGGCCTACATAGTGGGCAGTGTTTGCAGTGTTATCCCAGCTACAAGAAGTCCTCTTAACCTCACACAAGAAGGGAGAGTACCCTGGAGGGAGCCACTTCGAAATTCTGCACACTGAACTCAAGCTCCTTGTTATAGGAGATAGTTCCAGAGGAAATGTTTGGTCCCAGTTGACCAATTGGAAGGGATGAAATGTCTGCAAACTCCTTGAAAATAACCAACTGAAACTGCCTCATCCACTGACTACATGTGTGACAAGGACTTACACATTTCTTGGCCTGTGCCTTCAACTATAAAAAATGATAATTTGGAATATCTGATTTTAAAATTCCTTTCTGCTCTTTCTTTATGGTTTTCTGGTTGAAGATGAGTTCCAGAATCAGTGAGATCCAAGTTCAGGACCATGTCCTGGCAGGCATTATAATTATGTAAGTAAAATTCCTCAAGAATACAAGCACTTGTTTCATTACCTGTAATTGGTGGTGACAGTGCCTAACATGTTTTCAAAAGACACATGTTAAGTGCTTAAAAATACTGATGTGCACAGTCAAGTATCCTATGACTTCAGCTTGCAGCTCTGCTATTGTTTCTGTGGGTTTGGAATAAAAAAAAAGAAGGTGGAAGGTAAAAACATTGTAAGAGTTTTAATAAGAAGTAAAACAATTTGGCATATTAACAGCTTAAGGAGAAGTGCAGTGAATCAGTACGAGTCTGTAGACATGTAAAAAAAAATACAAGGCATATTTGACTATGGCCTGAGAAAAGAAAGCTAGTACCACTGACTTCAAGCCCTGTTGCTCTCACAATGCAAATTAAAACACAATACAAAGAAATTTTCTAATACAAACAGCATAGTGTAAAATCGTAACTATCCTATGAGTGATAAAGTCTATAAACAACGAAACTTGAAGAATCATGTTCCACACTTAGTTACTTCACCATCTTTCATTGTGACCTTGGCTTGGTGACATCCATATCTACTTGTGATATTCCTTCCATTAGGAATCTCAACCCTCAGTATACATAAAGAGAATCTCCAATACAACTGCTAACCTCAACACAGAAACTATCCCAAAACCTCTGAAGATGGCAATGCTTTAAGGTGTTCTTCTGCAAGTCATGACAATGGCCTATGACAGCTGCACTTCTAGTTTTGAACAAGTAAATGTATGTAGGACATAGCAAGTGTTTTTGTCGGGGTTTCTACTGCTGTGAAGACACACCATGACCATAGCAACTCTTATAAGGAAAGCATTTCATTGGGGTGGCTCGCTTACAGTTTCAGAGGTTCAGTCCATTATCATCATGGTGAGGATCATGCTAGCATGCAATGTCTTAGATGAAACATCTGGGGATTCTTGCCTAATATGTCTGAGGAGTGAACTGAAATTCTCTTGATCCATGAACCTATAATGAGCTGCTAGGCTCCTACCTGCTTCTCTGAGACAGCAGCCTTGTCTGCTTCCATGGAGTTGTGCTGCTCTGGACATGGAAGATTCCTTCTCAGATCTTCCACTGAGAAACTATTCCTTTCCATAAATAGACAAGAAAGAAAGGTTATCACCATCCGTATTAAGAGAGTTGAACACATGTGCATGAGTAGATGCGGGTGAAAGCACCCTGACAAGGATGACTAAGGGGCCTTAGGAGATGGCTCAGTGAGCAATCCCAACACCCATTTAAAATAAAGGCATGGCTATACATTCCTGCAACCCCTGAACTGGAATTCGCAGACAGCTGGATCCAGAAAGACTGGCAGCCAGAAAGCTGAGGCAAATGCTGAACTGAGGTAAAGAAAAATAGACAGTCAACATCCTCTTCTGGCCTACACGTACATGCATCACACAGGCATGCACACATAAAATAGGTGAGTTCATCACACACACACACACATACACACAACACACACACACACACATACATACTGAGTTTAGCCAACTATTCAGTTATCCATCTTTCAAATTTCTGGTTGAAATTATTTACTCTTCTCCTACACACAATAAAATGAGCACCACCACTTCAGCTGTCATCTTGGGCCCTGCTTGACACTCTACTTCTACAGTCTCCAGTAAGACATTACATTCTCCATTCAGCCACTGTTCCAAGTATCTGCTCTAACCAAATCATGACCAATAATCTGGCCTTCTAAACAAAGATGTTTCTGAAAGTCCCCTAGACAGTAGCAGCACTATCCTCTTGAGCGTGAACCTTTCCCAGCCTCAGATTCCATTGGTTGGTTCTCCAGACATCTACTTCTTAAATCAAATAGTGCAAAGGAAGGAAGGGTGACTTTTCATGTCTACGCATTTTCTCTGTTTTTCCCCCACATTGTATAAGCATAGATTCTTTCCTCATATACCATAATCTAACACAGTTTCCCCTCCTTCTATTCCTCCCAGTTCCTCTCCACCTCTTCTCCACCTCCTCTCCTACCCAGATCCACTCCCTTTCTGTCCCTCACTAGAAAAGAAAAAGAAAAGGGTATAACAATGAAACATAACAAAATAAAATATAGTAAGATTAAACAAAAACCGTCACACAAAAGTTGGACAAGCCATAAGAAAAGTAAAAGAGCCCCAAGAACAGGTAAAACAATCAGAGACCCACTCATTTACACATTTAGGAGTCTAAAAAAGCACCAACTGAAAGTTATAGTATATATACAGAGGGCAAGATGCAGACCTGTATAGGTCCTGTGCATGCTGCTTTGGTTAGAGTTTTCTCTTAAGAGTTAACTAAACCTACTACTTGTTTTGTACATAGCAAATTCAAGGGGTAGTATAAGAAAAGTGTCCAACACCACACAAACAATACAGGGTAGAAACAGGTTGAGAACTATGTATCTAATTCTCTGTGTAGTTACATTACCTCAGCTCCATTTTGGAAGAAATCCTCCTAAACTTTTTTTCCCTTGCAAGGCACTGCAGCCACCCTTGGCTTTGTGATAACAGATGGATCAAAGAAGTGTTGACAAAGAGACACAATGAAGAAACATTACTCATAGATGAGGTAGAAGGAATGGAATAAGGAGATCTTAGTGTCAGGTCACTCCTCTGTCCCCTCAGAAGAGGCCTGGGAAAGAACTCTTGAAGTCCTCAGTAGGCTTTATCTGTGTTTCAGGAGAAGGTTATCTATTCTAACCCATATTAAATGAAGTACCTTCTTAATAGTATGCTTTTGTGACAGTCAGACCACATTCTCACTAGCCTTGACTTTGCCGTATGATCATGAGCAGGCTTGGACAATGCCACGCAGCTCTAGAAAAGACCTTATGAACAAAAATAAGAGAATGTCAAAGAGCATGTGCTAGGTAGAGCTGGGCTGTGGAAGGAAGACACACCACACATGAGACGGGCCAACCTAGAACAGACTGACTGACTGTGGAAAAGTGGTCATGGGAACCACACAAAGGATGAATGATGGAGTTAGGTGGGGAGAAATGGGCTCAGGGCTGATTTACTATGCTCCATTTCCACTCTGCAATCAGAATGCACAGAGTCTCTGAGGTACAAATTTACTCAGGACTGGGATTTTATATCCAGATATGCTGTCTCAAATAATCTAATTTGGTAAGATGGGAAAATCATATCTCATAAAACTACCAGCCTTTGCCAAAAGTTTACAGGCTAGGGAGGTGTCAAGCCAAAGCATGGACTTCTATTATAGGTGATAAGGAGGGAATGGGCCTAGATATGAAATTATTTTAATAATAAATGTGACTGCTCTGTGTGTGCAATGTGTTCCATACAACCCAAACTTCATGAATTTTTATAAGGTGTCTATGTATTGTCAAGCTCCGGAGCTGCTGTGTCACCATAGCTCAGGCAAACCTTTTGCAAATAAAGCAATTCTGATATAGGTGTGACACATTAAATGATACTAAGATACAACCCCACTCCCACTTCCTGTCTCTGCAGTACCATTTATGTCCTCTACACAAACAGAAGAATTAAAATTCCCAGCCACTGGGAAATGGGTTACTCTCTCTCTGCCCACACAGGATCAGCATGCCTCATGAAAACTGGACCTTGCATAACTCTAGCAATCCTAGATGAAGGATGAATGACATTTAAGAGCCAACAATAAAGGACTTGGCATGAGCCAAGGAAACTTCCTCGGGACTTTTGTGTGTGCCTTCCAATTGTTGGAGAAAAGAGAAGGAAAGAAAAAGGGGGATACAAGTACTAGCAGCAATCATTTCTCAGATGCTCATTTTAGTTTGACCCAAGATAAATGCTCCCTATACAGTGACTCATTGAGTCTTTGCAACCCTACTAAATATGTAACACACTTATTTATAAAAGAAAGGTCCTCCGCTTTGAGGTATTTGTAAGTCATCCAGAGGCAGGCAGCAGGACCTTCATCTGGATGAGTCAGACAAGAAAGAGCAAAGTCTTTCCCATTGCACATCCCAGATTTCTATGCCCAGCACTATGTCTTGTGTCAGCACCATCGTCTTCTTGGAAAATACTGTGTGGGAAGAAAGAGCTTCAGAAATCCTTGGAAGGAAAGACAGATGATGAATCACAGAATTTAAGAGCAAATGAGCTCAGAAACTGTCTGGAGAGAAACAGTGAAGTCACAGAAACAAACAACTTAGCCAAACCTATCACCAGGTCTCCAGAGGGCAACAGATCCAGTGGGGAAACCAAAGGTGTTGCATAAAGGTATCTCGCTTATCAATTGTGGTACATTCTTCAGGCTTCATTCCCTTCACTAACTATCCCTCTCTCCCAGAGATATGGGGGAGATAATTAGGATGCACCTAGGGTTAGAAATTAGGGTCAGAAACAAAGAATACTGTAGCATTTTGGTTCCTTACATGAAGTATAAAACTCATCCCAGATATTTAGGGTTAAGAGTGAGATGGGTGGATTACCAACCTAGCATTTACTTTTTGCCAGAATCTTGTGCAATCATGAACCTGACCAAGAAATCAACAAGCCTACTTTCAAGAAGCTTTCAGAGAGGAAAACAAAAACAAAAACTCAAGACAAAGCCTATTCCAATCTCACATTGCAAACAGCACTTGAGAAGCACAGCAGAGTGGTATGTAAACACACAAGCACTCTCCAGGGCATTGAAGCAAGGTTGCCTGCTCCCAACCTGAGAAAATGCCCAAGTTCTGACCCTGTGTGCAGAACAGGAAGCAGCTGTGGAATTCTGGCTAACAAATACCACCCTGGAATCTGTGCCATTGGGTTGCTAGATGAGAACCTGTGACAGCGTGACACAGGCGCTAATGAGTGCAATGTGCTAAAAACTGAGAGGAGGTGTGATCATTCCTTCTTGTCCTAAGGAGTCTAGAAACACCTCCTGCTTTTTCTCAGACACCCTCTAGACCCTGTCTGTGACCAATCTTCAGTAATTTCCAACAATAATGTCAAAGGATCATAGAGATCAGTTCAACCTACTTTCCACTCAGTGCTGGAACTCCCTATCTGGCTTCTGGTGACTGATCCCCACACCGCTGACTTTCAGCTCAAGGGAACATGAAACTTCAAGGCAGGCAGACTGTTATTGGAAAGTTGGAATCATTAGAAAGTACTTTCTCATAGTGAGTTAAAATCTGTCACCCTATATTCCTGCCCACTGAATCTGGTCCTACCTGCTGGAGCTTCAGAAAACAAATCTACTTCTGTATCCAAATGCCACCCCTTCAGAGTATTTGGGCAACTGCCATGTCTGTTCTAAGCCTTCTTATCTGACACAGATGGCAAGGAACATGCCAGTCCCCTCCCTGGAGGGCTTAAGAAACAGCAGTCACGGGTTCACAAATATTCTATCCTGCCTTTCATCATACTGGAGTGTTTGCAAAGGCTTCTTCTGCCCATACGGAATCCTGACCCCGATGTGCCTGGTAATCTAATGGCTTGAAAGGGATGAAGAAGTGGTGGAGCAGAGAGGCCCTATGAGTGGCATGACCTTCCCAATTAGGCACAGGCTCCACACACTATTAAAAAACCATCCCGCAGAGGTGTCTTCGAACCGCCTGCATAATTACTCCTATGGAGCAGCTCAAATGTTTCCTTTACATTTTGTTTCTTAATGTTTGAAAATAAGCTTGCCAGGTGACCATCCATGTGCCTCTGGGTCTGTAAGGTTTGATGTTGCTACATCCTGGATGTTTGGTTCTCCTCTTCCTCAGATCGATGACGCCTAGGGTACATACAGCTTTCTGCTAATCATATACCTTTACTGAATTACCATTCAACTACCCCTGAGCTCTCCCTCACAGTGACATGGGTGAGAGATGAGACAGACAATGTAGGACTCAATCACAGAATGGCCCCATATCAAGGAAATGCTGGACCAACGATGCCTCCTTCCCTGAAAACAAATCATTAGTTAACACAACACAACAGGACTGTTGGATTCAGAAAGAGTGATCAGAGTGAGAGCTGAACTTAGTCATTAATGACCAGCATCACTTGTGCTAATTACACATCAATATAAACAATTCTAACAGGTGAATTTAAATGGATATACTGAAGTGTGCACCCTGAAGACTTGGGAGAATTATTACACAGCCTGAAGAATCCTTTGATCGTTCAGAATCATGATCTCAATGCTCAGCTGTCCCTAAAGATTTTATTCCCTTTGCCAAAGCCAGCCCAGAGCCTGTCCTGTTGTTCCTTCACCACTGCAGATCTGAAGCCTATTGAATGCTGATTGAAGTCAAACCTTGCTTATGTAAGTCCTGCAAGAAAAGGAACTCTTCAAGGATCTGAAGGGCTTACAGGGGTTTCTGCCATGGCGGCAGCAGCTGGGATATTCACTGTCACATGTGGACCCTTAGTGGTTATCTTGGTAGCTTCTTGGTAACTGTAGGGACAGATGAAGGGGAAAAGCCAAAAAGAAAGGAGACTGTAATTTCCCTCACTAAAAACCACAAATACAGAACAAATGGCTATTCCCAGATGCTGAGAAGGGGAAAACTTAGAGACGTGGGAAAGAAGAGCCTGCTGTCAATAGTCCTGATGGTCTCCATGCCTGCCAAGTGATCACTGAAGCCCAAGTGGTCACCAAAGTCATACCTCTATATAGTACTGACAGCAAACCTCATCCAGTTATTATCTGGCTCCAAGATGTCAACTCCTACCACCTCTTTTTTGTTTGGGAGCGGTTGGTTTTTCTTTTCTTCTTGAATATTTTTGAGAGAGAGAAAAACAATGTGCATATTCCTCATGGGTGTGTGCAGCTGCATGTATGGGTATCAGTGCAGGGCATGCACATGTATGATTGAACATGTGTATGGAGGCTAGAGGTAGATACTGAGCATATCCCTCCATGGCCCTTCATCTCCCTATTTCTTGAGACAAGGTCTCACAATGAACCTGTAGCTCAGCAGTTCGGCTAGACTTGCTGTCCATCAAGTCTCAGCAAGTCCCAGAGACCTCCCTGCCTTCAAGCCCTCACCACTGCATCCAGCTCCTCCATGTTCACTCTGGAGGCCTCAACTCCAGTCTTTATGCTTGCACTGCAAACATATTGCTAACCGAACCATCTCCTTAGCCCTTTCTCTTAGACTTTGCAGGATTAGTTTGGGGCCCTAGAATCCGAACACCCAATATGTGATGCTTACAGAAGCACTGAAGCAAAGCACACAGGCAACAGTATACACTGTTGTAGGGAATTACAGTGACCTCATATCATAAAGGCCAGTGAGAAGTTGATGATGGAGCAAAGACTGCTTGCCAGAATTCACAGGGGAAAGGCCCTACATGGCTGGCTCTTGGCTCTTGGGGCAAAGTGACGACAGAGCTGAGCTTTTCCTAGACTTTTACTTGGAACCATAAATAATTCCCACAACCACTCTTAGCTGAGAACCACTGTTAACCTCCAAGTGTAACCTGGTTGCACTTTCAACCTGGTGAGGCTAAGCCTCTGCCATGGCTTGGATCTTACATGTTCCCCAGAGGTACAATATCTTAAACACTTGGTCCTCAAGCAGTTCCAATACAAGGAAGCAATAGGAACTCCATGGTGTGGGGTCTGGTTAGAAAATTAAATTATTGCAGGGGTGATACTAGATGGAGACATAGACACTGACCTCTTTTCTCTTTGTTTTGCAGATTCCATAAGGTGATGTTCTGCCACACGCTCCTCACCACAATCCCCAAAGTAACGGTGCTAGACCATCATGGACACTACACTTCTGAAACAATAAAAAAATGATAATAAACTTTCTTCTTCATAAGTTTTATCTCAAATATCTTTTTTCGCTGCCATGGAAAACTGGTTGACTTAGCCTTCAAATACCAAAGTCCAAGCATGGTGGCATGAACCTTTATTTCCAACACTTGAGGCAGAAGCAGGCTGATCTCTGTGAGTTCAAGACCAACTGGTCTGCAGGGGGGGTTTCAAAACAGTCTGGGCTATGTACAGAAACCCCTTCTTAGCCATCTTCCCAAAAGATACTATCCTTATGAAAGTGAAATTAACTATTGAGAACCATAGAAAGGACTAGTGGTATATGAATTTAAGCTCTGAAAATCCGTCATATAGTTCACCAATTATATCTTTCTCTTGTCACTTTTTTGCTTTCTAAATGATAAAAACAAATAAAATCCAGCTATTAAGATAAATGCTGCTATACCCAGGAGGACATGGGTGGTCATCCATCTAAAGTCAGGTTCCCTGGAAGAAAGCACCATTAAGATGTGCCCTCGCCCTAGATACACAGACCCTACCAACATCAACTCATTTTCCTGGACCACTCCTGACTCTAGTCACTTTCCAAGGTCCCATGTGTTCACCTAAGGGCTAAGTGAAGGAAGCACGCTTGTGCAGAAGCTATTTAGCCAGCTGATCTTTCCTAAAGTTCTAGAACCCGTCCACATTGGTTAAAGACAAAATCTACAGGGGGTTTATGTGGCTACACATTTTTTCAAGATTCCTTACAGTGCTCACAATTTCACCTGTCTTTAGGCTCCCATTTTACTGTTCTTCTAATGTAAACAAGGAAAAGTAGATGAGAAAATACAAAACATCATTGAGGAGCATCAAACATCACACATCAAACATCACAGCTCTCTGTAGAAAGTTACACTAGTTTACTGAAGTAACGATGTAGGAGAATGTATTCATTACATCTCACAACAGTCTTCGGTATAGCCCAGTGTACTTTTAAATATATCATCTTATCTTCTTAACTGTGTTATTTAAAAACCCATACATTACAATGTGGAAATAAATATTGGGCTGTTAGCATAAACTTAGCTGAGAACATTTGTCCTGACGAAAAGCAACAAGAATGGTACTTTGTATTCCAACTGACAAAAGAGTCACACAGCATCCCTGATAATCATAGTCACATAACATCCCTGATAATCGTGGCTACACAGCATCCCTGATAATCACATTCTGCTACCCCTGCCATACCCACTAAAATTACAAAATACTCTTTTTATTTATTTTCAGATGTATGAAGAAAAGAAAGTGGGATATCAGCCCACAGTTACTATTGGTTCTATCCATTTATCTTAGCATTGTTTTGCTGATATAATGATAACATAATAGCATAATGGCTATTCAGAATCCCACTCAAAAAGAGGGGGGAAAGTTGATTGTCTTTACTGTGCACAGGACAGAATATCTCTTGTGTGTGCTTTTTTATTTTTAAATTCTATTTCCTATTATAAACTCAGAAATATAAATACTTTGCACAGTCATATTTATTACCAAAATAATATGCTCTTTCAGGTCCATGAATTTCATTCTTATTTGTTGATGATAGAACTGTCTTTTTTATTTTCTTTTTTTCTTTTTTTTTCTTTTTTTTCTTTTTTTTTTTTTGGTTTTTCGAGACATGGTTTCTGTATTGTTTTGGAGTCTGTCCTGGAACTCGTTCTGTAGCCCAGGCTGGCCTCAAACTAACAGAGATCCCCTGCCTCTGCCACCCAAGTGCTGGGATTAAAGGTGTGAGCCACCAACACCTGGCGATAGAATTGTCTTTATTGAAGAGCTAAGTCATTTTCATAAAGTAGGTAAAAATGTCTAGCCATTCTTCTGTATCAGTTTATAAGTATTTTAATATATCTCTGCTATTTATGAGATCCTAGAGTTGATATAGCACCAAATGAATCAACTACCAAAGAGTGGTTGAATTTTTATTACTATATATGCCTTCCCTATTTTTCCACTGCCTTCTGAGAAGTGTGCTCATAAATTGCTTTTCAAACTGATCACACTGGGCTGAATCTCTTAAGGTGAAGGAGAGAGGGCATTGTTGACTGTGTAAACTCTTAGTGGATCAGGGCCTTCAAGCTGCAGTTCTGTAACTGGCAGGGTGAATAGTCACTGTCCTACCCAGAACATGGGTACCCCTGACACTGTAGCAACAACTCAGCAGACGCATCTCACATATGATCCACTATGGCCAACTCAACTCACCTCACCATAAAGAAATCAAGATCCAGGGAACTGAAGTAACTTCTCCAAACTCTCAGAGCTGATGAGCTAATGGCCAGAGTTTGTCTGAGAAAACTACTATGCCTTCTCAGCCACCATATTAAGCCCACTTTACCTGCCAAAAGATGCAGTTCTCCACTCAGGCTGGAGACGAGAATTACTCTGGGAGATTTTTTCCTTTAAATATTGATAAGCATTTGTATTGTTTAAGTTCCTTGAAGTGATGTTTAATGTGCACCTAAGGATTACAATACCTGAATTAGAGATTCAGGGAACAGTCATTTTCCTAAGAAATACAAATATGTCAGGTCTGGTAATGCTAGCTATGTGGGAGGATGAAGCAGGAGCATCTTAGGTTCAAGTCCAGCCTATGCAACTTAGGGAGACACTGTTGCAAAATAAAAAATAAGTAAAAAGAGGGGGTTGAAAAAAGTGACTCAGTGGGTAAGAGGCACGTGCCACCAAACCTGGAACCCTGAATTCAATCCCTGTACCCCATGTGGTGGGAAAGAAGGGGAGACACCATTCCCACAAGCTGTCCTCTAACTTCCACATGACCTCCCACATGCACACATGTGAGTGTGTCTATGCACATGCACACAACAACTAAATGTAATAAAGATAATTTCTTAATTTAAGAGGTAGGAGAAGTAGCTCATTAATAGAGTTCTTGCTTAGCATAAGTGAGGACCTAGATTCAGATCTCCAATACATAAAAACATTTTTTAAGAAAGCCACCAGTCAGTGGGCACTCTAGAGGCAGAGGCAGGTGGATCTCTGTGAGTTTAAGGCCAGCCTGGTCTACAAAGTGAATTCTGGGACAAGCTCCAAAGTTATACAGAGAAACCCTGTCTCTGAAAAATGAGGGAAAAGAGGAGGGAGAGAAGGAGGGAGGAAAGGAAGGAAGGAAGGAAAGAAAGAAAGAAAGCAAGAGAGAGAGAGAAAGGAAGGAAGGAAGGAAGGAAGGAAGGAAGGAAGAAAAAAAGAAAGAAAGAAAGCAATGAACTGTTTCCAACAATAGAAGTTCAAGTTGTTTGGCTGGAACAGGACCATGATGCAAGAACACAGGCAGAATCATACACCAGCTTGAGCAGATCAGCAAGCCTCATTTCTATGTCCAGACCAGCATTTGTCTCCCACCCCAAGGGCAGGAAGATCCACATGGTATTGCCTTGGTCCTGAAGCAGATCCAAACTTTGTCACCTACACCTTCTTCTGACAGGGGATGGAGGAACCCAGAAAGGAAAGTGTTTTTTCTGGTGTCACCCACTGACAACCAAGGTAAAAAGCAGCTTGAGTCTCCTGGGCCCTGACAAGTGGGTATGGCATAAGAATGGGTGGGGCGGGGAGTCAGCCAAGGCACTTGAGGAGAATTTCAAGAGAGGGTGGGGAGGGAGAGGGAGAGAAAGTGTGCAAAAAGGGGGGATCAAAGCAGAGGAAGAGAGAAACTGAGCCAGGATGTGCAATGCTGGGAAATTGAGCCTGTATAACAAAGCACTGTTACCTGGCTGGAGTAAAATGCAATGGGGTCAAATCCAATTGCAATAATGTAGCATCAAAATCATAGGAAAAGGCACAGAAATACCCACCCTCCACCCATCCTTGGGAAACATATCCACACCTGTACTTTCCTAATATGAAGTCATATGGAAGCAAGCTCCAACTGTAGGACTGTCAGCAAGCAGAGAGGCAGTCATTGCTACAGAGTCCAAGACTGTTAACAGCACCTTTTGCTTTCAAGCTGAGCATGTGGCTCTGGAACCAGCTTCTTCCACACTGCCTGGGAGTTTGTGAGAGATGCAGAATCAGGGGTCTCATCTGAGTCCCTGCTCAACCAGAATCTGCATTTTAAAACACTTGCTTATGTGCATATTCAAGTTGCTGAAGCACAGCCTCTACTATCCGAACCACACTGTGTTTAAATAATATCAGTGATATAAACTGAGACTACAGAGCCAGGGAGAACGTAATCCAACTAGTTATGTTATCTACTGACACCCAATGAGTGGCCAGGCCCTGGGCTAAGAATTTCAGGAAATGATGGGCTAAGATTCGGCCAGGTTACTGTAGAGCTCTTAAGTACGACTGCAGAAAACACATAATTGACTTGCACTTCAGAGCAGTGAAATAGAAGGTAATAGAGTTTGGGGGAGTCAGAGTTGTAGTTCAAAGGGATCCAAGAAGCATGCAGCAACTGGCATCAGACAAGAATAAGAAATGGTGAGAGTATGATACTGAATGGTGTGTAGAGGGGAGAATAATAATAAAAACAAACAAGTCGGGGGGATTTCAGCACACAAACACACACACACACACACACACACAGAGAGAGAGAGAGAGAGAGAGAGAGAGAGAGAGAGAGAGAGAGAGAGAGAGAGAGAGAGAGAGAGAGAGAGAGCTGTCATTAGCCATCAGGCAGTAACATTTCCAGACTCAGCCAGAAGGAAAAGCAGAGTCTTGTTCATGGTACCCAACACCACCCAGCATTATTCTATGTAGACTGTCATCCCTAGGAGTTGTTTTGATGTATTCTCTTTACTCCCAGAGCCAGGACATTTAACATCATGCAATAGTCCCACTTTGTGAAGCTATCTTCCAACTGCTGTCAGTCTCATTATCTGCTGTGCTTGGGTGCCAAGCACCAACCACACTTCTGTCTCTAATTTGACTGAGGAGGAAATGCCTCCATTTGGTTTCTTTCTGACTCAGTTCAAAGAGACAAACTGTTTTCTTCGGTCCTAGGAATCTGTGTGTTGTTAAAATGCTGTAAGCTATCAACATTATTTTTCTTAATATCAATGCCATGGTGAGTAGGCACCTCTTAAATCATTTACCTGTGTAACCATAACATAATATCATGAAAAGGAGATACTTCAAGGTTATATTGCAAAACACTGGTATCATCAGCACTATGATTCCCTATGTTGGAGAGTTCACCTTTCCAAAGGCATTTACTACAAAAGCACCCATGAGAGGTCAAGGAGATTTACAAGAATAGCTTATTTGATTTGTGGTTTTCACCTTAAACTCCCTCATATCACTTTCAGAAATGAGTAAGAGAGTAAATGATAAGTCCACAAATACTTGATTACTGAAAAATATAAAATCTGAACAACCAATGCTTTGCTCAAATACATTTTAAGGACATTCATCTATGACAGGAAAGGACAGCCCATATTCAATGCACACATGATATTAAAATACAATTGAAGGATTCTGGAAACTGGCAAAAGCTGTCCCCAAAACACTGAAGACAGGTATCTGGAGCCTAAATGTTTGAAATGGACTCGGTAACTTTCTGAAAAGCGTCCCTGCCTTTAATAAACACGTTTCTCAGCTCCTCCTAAATTATATGGACAATGCCAGTCTAGCCCACAACATGAGTGTTTTTGCTGCATTTGGGCATCTATTTTTCCTGTATCCTGCTTCATTGTGACAAAGTTTGCAATAGCCACTGTGTACTGCGTAGCAGATAAGCAAAACCAGAGAGAAACGCCAACCTCCTGTCTACATAAAAATGTTTCCAAATCCAGGAACTTTTGAGGCCATTCCAAAATCGTTTGTGCTCATGGGGATAGGGACGTTTGATTTTCCTTGAAGGACCCAAGGCATTCACCACCAGTGTGTCCTCCAGAACCATAGGAAGCAAAGCATGAGCGACCTCCATCTAGCCTTCTCCTCATCCCTAGACCCTCACAAAGCAGAGGCAAAACAGATGGTCCTCCCCCTCCCGTTTCCCTCCTCCCTTCTGCTGTCCTGCAGAGTCCTCCCACCCTGAGCTGACACCTTCACCAGCTCTCACTAGCCCAGGCTGCCCTTTGCAGCTCCTAAAAAGTACAAATTTGAGCATCTGCTCTTAAACCTCACCATGCACCTAGCTCCTGGTCTCTTGTTGGGGAAGTCCTGTTATTTGCCTGTGCATTTGTCAATAAAGTACTGTCTGGCCAATAGAAAACCTAGATAGGAGGGGCTAGGAATCCAGGAGGATTCTGGGTAGGAGGAACACAGGAGAGTCAACATGTGACGCCATGGGGGTAGGACGCCGGGAACTATTCTCCGGTAAGAAACATACTTAGATTAACAATTATGGGGTAATTACTTAAGGCAGAGCTAGCCAGTAAGGGACAAGCAAGGCCAACAGCTTCATAATTAATATAGCCTCCTGTGTGTTTATTTGGGACTAATGCGGCTCTGGAACCAGGCTGGCGGGACGGCTTCACTCAAAGAAAAAGCTTCTCTTAACAATCTCTTCTCTGCATAATGCCCTTGGGACCCTAAGCTTCCACTGTCATCCTCCCCTCACACCTCAGTACCCAAATTACTCATTTCCCTCTAGTAAAAAGAGTCTGCAAACCCTGGAGTTCCAGGGGGCAGAGGCGCTGCCACTGACCCCTGATCAGCTTTCCTTGTCCCCCAACTTTTTCTGTGCTCCCTTTCCCGTCCAGGCTCATCCTAGCCCACCCCGGGGAACCCTTGCTCATCAAGGCTACTACTCCTTGACTCCAGGGGCTCGCATGAGTCTCGCCTCTGCGACCGGGGCAGCTGGAAGGAGCCCGCCCGCCTCTACAAGTGGGGCTGCGGGACGGAGCGCAAACTCCATGGTTCGCCTGGGCGGAGGCGGTGGGGACCGGCGCGGACGCGGCGACGCGGGGCTGCTCGCCCCAAGCTTACCTCTGCACGCGGGCGGCGGGTGCGCTGAGGCAGCCGCTCCCGAGGCCGGGGGGCTGTGACCGGTGCCTGGGAGGCGGTGCTCCTGCCAGGGCTGCGCTGGGGCTTCGCGCAGACGCTCTCCCGCGGTCTGCGGCAGCCCGGGGCGGTGGCGCCGGCGACAGCTCTGCGCCGCGGCCCCCGGAACTGTCCGATCTAGCGGGAGCGCGGGCTGAGCTACCAGTAGTGGGCTCCAAGCTCGGTGCCTGAGCGCCTGGTCTCACCCAGGTAAGGGGCGTGTGCCCGTGTCCTCGCGGGCCACCGGGACCTGCGTGAGGACGGGCGAGGGGCTTGGCGCGGGATGCTGAGGCCGGGAGTGAACACCGCGGAGATGGCCGGGGGCGGTGCAGGCTCGGAGCCCACCTGGCCACCCGGTCCCACGCGTCCCTCAGCCTCCAGCAGAGGTCGGGGAAGTGGGGGATGATGTCCCCAAGCCAGGAAGACTATCTGCGGCGCGGAGGGGGGTGGGGGTGCGTGGGGGACAGAGGAGGTGTCACCTATTGGCCAAGAGGACTGAAACTCTTCTTGGAGATGCTGGCCATAGAAGTATTGGCTCTGCCCGTGCGTGCAGCCCTGGGCTGGCAGGTGACACGGAGCAGCCTCCGCGTGGGCCCAGGACTTCGCAGCCCGGCGCGAACCTGCGAGGCTTGTGCGCAGGGGAGGGGCTCACTTCCCTCCCACTTCCAGGCCTCGCTGATTGAAGTTTCAAAAAAAACTAAACCGTGTCAGGGGTTCCCCCGGTGTAAGCCATCTTCTGAAAATTGTGCAGACACAGCCAGGGCGCTTGCTTCTGCGAGGGAAGGCACTTCAAAGAAAACACTGGGGGTGAGGAAACATAATTTTAAGGGCTCGGTCTTCTCAGATGACTTCTTTGGGAAGAAATTCAAGGGTAACAAATTACAGGGGAGCCCTGTTAGGCAGAGAATTTTTTTTAACCAGATGACTTGATTTTGAAATGTGTTTCTTTGGATCTTGTCTTAGATGATTGACACTAAGGCCATAAATAATTAATCCAGCAACTGTTAATGTCTTGGCATAGTGCCCAGAGTAAATTCCTTCCAGTCCAGCCAAAGCCAGTGCTGCCCGGGGTGGGTTTGAGATCTGACTTATGTACACTCACCACCACATTCTAGAGCCTTCCTAAGGAGCAGCTTGTCTATTTTTTTAATCCACCTTGGAATGTCAGGTTATTGCAGGCACGAGAGCACCTGAGGTAACCAGCATGAGGCGGGACATAAATCTAACTGATAGTCTTTATATTTTTAGAATTCAAACATCTCCTAGGTAGGCAGGCTCACTCTAAGGACAAACCCTTACTGGTATGTTTATTATTACTACTGTCTCTATTCAAAATGACTACAGGAGGCAAACTGCAAAATTCATAACCCCCAAAGAACATAAGGAACTATAATTGCTTGGAGAGTCGTTTTAAACATGATGGTCTTGCTGGGCATGGTGGCCCATGCTTTAATCCCAGTACTCAGGAGGCACAGACAGGTGGATCTCAGTGAGTTCGAGGCCAGCCTGACCTATTAAGCAAGTTCCAAGACAGCCAGGGGCCGTTACACAGAGAAACCCTGTCTTGAAAAGCCAAAAAAAAAAAAAAAAGTCTTATCTTATCTCTCCTGTCCATGGAGGTTATATTGAAAGTACACTATTTCTGAATTATGAGAATGGGGTTCTGGAGCCCTGAGACCAGCAGGAAGTTCTATGAGGGAAGCACCCAGCTTCTAGGTCCTTGCACTTGAGAGCTGAAAGCAGTGTTGTTGCCTTACCTGCTCCTGAAATCTTGGGTGCATGGGGAAAGGGAGGGTTCTGGAGGTCTCCAGCCAACTCCTTGGAGGAGGGGGGGCAAGAGGAGAGAATAAGCCCAATGGGCTGGAACACCTGTGAAAAAAGTGTCTCATAACTTGCACAATTTAGCAGGATGTGCATTTTTATGTCCTGCAATCCTCAACTATATTCTTCTCTCTTCCTTGCCTATTTTTAATCACTTATAGCTAAGATGTATGTTAGAAAATAATTTGAGGGTTGCATTTCCTAACAGCAACTGAAAGAAGTATAAACTATTTGCAGATGAGTCTGTTTTGTTTTTAACCTGTGACCTAAGAGGTAAAGAACTGTGCCCTCCATGTCCTTAGCCAAGGCAAGATAAAGGCTTCTAGAAGCCCATGTCCCAAAACAATTGCTACACCTTGCTGGAAAATATACTTCAATGTGGAAACAACTATAAACTAAAAGAAGATATGTATACAGAAGATTAAATTAAAGCTAAGCTTCCCTTCAAAAGTGTGATTGTCTGTTGGCTAATTTGGCATTGACTGCTTTCCCAGAGCTGTGTGCTGTAGGGGAACTTTGGTTCTCTGGCCTGCCACCCTTTCCTTAAAACCACTGCTCAGTAACAGAGAGCTACCGCCCCCCCCCCAAACAAGGCACAACAGGATAGGAGCCTACCAGGCTGAGGTTAGTGCATCATGGAAACACCCTTCACAGGGAGGAAGACAGAAGAAAGAGATTAAGTCTTTCCCCAGTTTTGTGTTTATGAGGTATACGGTTCCTAAACATCCCCTGAAAGTCATACTAAAAGCATTCAAACTCCTTTTCAATAATCTTGTTAGTGGCTGTCCTACCCCACCCAGTACATAATAGTGATAAATCCATCAACTGACTTGAAAACTTTAGAATCACTTGGGTTTGTGATAAATAACACATGTGCACTTACAGGTAGCACATGATTATGAAACAAGCCTCTGCTGACACTTTGTATTTCTTTGCAGCCACCAGTGCATCAGTGCACTCAGTCTTGAGGATGGGAACATACTTTGAAAACCACTTTTGTCATGGAACAGAAGGCCAGAATCATAACTTCAACTGTGGCTTTCCAACCTAGGACTTCCATCCTGCAGCACAGGACTGATAACAGCCAGCCAGCCTTAATGTAGTGCGGCAATTCTGGAAAGTTATGCTGTATAGAAACTATGTAGAAACACAAGACGCCATTGGATATCTTGCTCTGGTTTCTCTTCCCCTAATTGCTTCTCTGGGCACTATGCAACCCTTCAAAGTGTTTTCATGAATCCCATTCTACTTTCCCAACAGCCTCTGCTAGGAAGCTGCAATGGTTACTTACCTTGGGGTGGCTCCACTGCTTTACAATGGAGGAAGAAGGGTTCCCCTGCTTGAAGGCTTGACTTCTGACCTGATGGAATTAGCACGTACACGCCGATGTTTTACCTTTTTACAAATCATGACATCTGTGTGTATGTGTGTGTGAGAGAGAGAGAGAAAGAGAGAGAGAGAAAGAGAGAGAGAGAGAGAGAGAGAGAGAGAGAGAGAGAGAGAGAGAGAGAGAGAGAGAGAGAGAGAGAGAGAGAGAGAGAGCATGCGTGGAGGTCAGAGGACAATTTTTGGGACTCAGTTCTCTCTTTTCACCATATGAGCCCTGGGTATTGAACTCAGGTCTCCAGACTACGTGGTGTGCCCTTGCCTGCCGAGCCACCTCTCTGGCCCACTTTCTTCATCTTTAATATGAGCAAATAAAAATGTCATTCTTACAGCAGTATCCTGAGGAGCAAATCAAATGAGAAAGTATTTTGCAAATTGCAAAAAAATCTCAAGGTTTTGTTGTAATACATTTTAACAAATACTTGGGAAATAAATGAGAGATTTATAGCCATGTTGGACAATAAAGTCTAAACTGTGCTACATAAGATAATACATGTGCCTTGTTTTGATAGAGCAGTTTATAGCTAGAAGAAAAGTAGTATGGAATATTTTCAATCAGCTACTAAATTACATTTGTTTACAAACCCTGAAGAGAAGAGGCCACTCCTATGCTAACATTCCACAGACTGACTTACTGAATTGAACTTCATGATTACAGAGAGTTGGAATGTAGACAGAAAGCCAAAATTATTTTGGGCTGTCTTTAGCCCCCTTGGAAGTCATTAATCATCTACCACTGTGTCTGATTCTGCTTTTTCCTGATTTTTAAATCAAAGTCTTGAAATGCATCACTGCATAGACTTGACACAGCTAACTTCCATCAATGCAGAAGCTAGGAACATCATGAGATTGCATCTAAAACCTAAGGCAGAGATTTCCCTAGTTTGCCATTATGAGGTTGCCTGATGCCCCAACCAATGTATTTGATAAAGGCATTGACTTATGACTCTATTTGTCCTGTGACAGTACCAGTTCAACTACATGTTTTCATGGTGGAAGATGTCATCCAGGGAAACCCAAACTCATGTTCCTGAGCAGTGGTCACTCACATTTGGCTCAGAAAAAAATTAATTTTTTTCATTTTGGAGAAAGACATAAGTTCCTGCAAGTGCTAGATTTTTCTTTTCCTTTTCAGTGTCTACAATTTAGGAGACATTAGTGAAATCTGTGTTTTAGAAGCCCTGTTCTACTGAGATCGACAATTAATAAATGGGACCTCCTGAAACTGAGTAGCTTCTGTAAGGCAAAAGATACAGTCAACAAGACAAAAAGGCAACCCACAGAATGGGAAAAGATATTCACTAGCCCCACATCTGACAGAGGGATGATCTCCAAATTTACCAAGAACTCAAGAAGCTATTCTCCAAAACACCAAAGGACCCAATTAAAAAGTGGGAGACTGAACTAAGTAGAGATTTCTCAACAGAGGAGACTAAATGACTGAGAGACACTTGAGAAAGTGCTCAACATCCTTAGCCATTAGGGAAATGCAAATCAAAACAACCCTGAGATACCATCTTACTCCGGTTAGAATGACTAAAATCAAAAACACCAATGACAGCTTATGCTGGAGAGGATGTAGAGAAAGGGGAACACTCCTCCACTGCTGGTGGCAGTGCCAACTTGTACAGCCACTTTGGAAATTAGTATGAAGATACCTCAGAAAAATGGGAATCAGTCTACCACACAACCCAGCAATTCCACTCTTAGGCATATACCCAAAAGATGCCCATTCATACAAGGATGTCTGTTCCACTACGTTCATAGCAGCATTATTTGTAATAGCTAGATCTTGGAAGCAACCTAGATGCCCCACAACTGAAGAGTGGATAGAGAAAATGTGGTACATTTACACAATGGAGTACTACTCAGCGGAAAAACACAACGGAATCTTGAAATTTGCAGGCAAATGGATGGCATTAGAAGAAACCATCTTAAGTGAGGTAACCCAGTCACAAAAACACAAACATGGTATGTACTCATTCATATATGGATTTTAGACATAGATCAGGGGAGTGTCATCCTACAATCCCAGGGCCAGGGAGGTTCCCAAGAGATATGATACCCCAGAGAAGTGGAAAGAGGCAAGATCTCCTGAGCAGATTGGGAACATGTGGGGAGAAGAGAGGGAACCAGGAAAAAGAGAGGAGGATAGAAGACATGGGGGAGCAGGAAGGCTGAGTCTGGGTAAGAATAGAGGAGACCAGGATGAGAGATACCATAACAGTTGGAGTCATTATAGCTTTGAGGAGAGAGCTGACACTAGTGAGATTCCCAGAGATGAACAAGGATAACACCAACTAGGAAATTAATTAATAGCTCCTACCTGATAATAAGGTTGGTGACTACCTTATGTGACATCCTAGAACCTTCATCCTGTGACTGATGGAAGCAGAGACAGATACTCACAACTAAACACTGAACTGACCCCCAGGAACCCAGTAACAGAGATGGAGGAGTGATGAGCAAGGTGGTCAAAACCGTGGTGGTGAAACCCACAAAGACAGCTGACTAGACAAGGGGGTGCTCTTAAACCCCAGACTGATGACTAAGAGGCCAACAGGGGACTGATCCAGACTCCGTGAATGTAGTGTCAGTGATGAGGCCTCAGAAATCTCTGGGGCTTTGGGTAGTAGACTAGTGTTTACCATGGCATGCAAATGAACTTTGGGAGCCCATTCCACATGGAGGGATGCTCTCTCAGCCTGGACACACGGGGAAGGGCCTAGGTCCTGCCATGGGTGAAATGACAGACTCTGGAGATCCCCCCAAGAAGGGCCTTACCTCCCTGGGGAATAATGTGGGGATTGAACTGGGGGTAGTGGAGTGGGGATGGGGCTGGTGGAGGGAGAAATGGGGAGCCGGGATAGACATTTGAAGCATGCATGTTTCTAATTTAAATAAAAACATACATAAAATAAAAAATAAATAAAAAGCCAAAAAAGAAGCACTGTTCTTTAAAGCCCTAACTCAGATTCAACAAAAAAACATGTTTGTTAAAAATAATTTATTTCTTATTTTAAATTAACTTATTATTTTTATTTAGATACATTTATTTATTGAGGAGTGGGTGTGCATGCAGTTATATGTGGAGATCAGAGGGCTGTAACACAAAACATAAAAGACTCAGAGGCTTCAAGCTGAAGATCAGAAAAGCAAAGCAATTGGTCACTTGCTCTTACCTCTATTTTAGCTCAGACAAAAGGGACAATCCTCAATTGCCCATGACTTAACTGCTCCTCAGATTGATAACTCGGACTAGTATGCTCTCCTCAGCATGTCTAGAGACTTCAATGTCTTCCTATCCTCAATGTGGCTAGAGAATGAATTCTGAGAACTGTTCTGGTCTTAAATACCTTTCATGAGCTCTGGGATTAAATGTGTCAGTTCTGTTACTCTCTTAGACCAATTCAATCTTGTGTAGGCCTAGATGGCCTTGAACTCAGAGAGATCCATCTGTCGTTGTCTCCTGTGTCCTGGGATTAAATGTGTATATCACCACTGCCTGACCTCTAAAGATTGAGGCTAACTTTACTTTCTGAGTCCTCAGGCAAGTGCTAATAAATCATAAATAATATATCTCCACAGAGGGCAACTTGTGGGAGTTGGTCTTCTTCTCAGTCATATCGGTTACAGGGATGGAAATCAGGTTTCAACCTCAGCGGCAGCAAGTACCATTACCCACTGGGCCGTATAGGAGACCCTACTTATATTAATTAAGGATCTATGCCCATTCAAAAAAGCGAATGATGAATTGTAACAAACATTTTTGTGGTTTTATTGACCAGGTAGTTTTCAGGGTCCTTTTGTCCATACATTTACTTAAAAACAAAAACGTTAAACCTTTAAGGTCAATGTGCTGGCTTTCATACGGAAGTTCCATCTTGAACTGTACACTTATCTCTACAACAATCGATACAAAAATGTGGAGGAGTTTGTTTCAGGTGGAAATTATAAAGTTATTTCTGCCATGTGAGTTTGTGTTTCTCATTTTTGAATCTGCATTATCTTTTAAATCTAACTCTAGTGTCTGTCTCTATTCAGAAGGTAAATAAAATAAAATAAAAACATTTTAAACCTCAAGCTTTCTTCTGAGCCAAGTTATTCTCTTTTTCTCTTGTTTCAGGGGTTATTTTTATGTGAACCATTAGTATTCTTTGAAGAAGAATTGTCCTCTTGGCCTATAATTATATTTTAACTGGATATTGAGTTTCTTTTCATCTTTTATTTTTATTTCAATGCTCTTAGCGGAGAAAGGCCACATAAATCCCTTGCTCACTAACTGAACTCTCCCTACTTACATATTATGATTTATCTAAATTTTAAAATTTATTGTCTTAAGTATTCCTCCTGAGTGTAACTGATCCCTGTTTTCACTCCCTTTTTCATTTAAGAAAAATGTATTTTCTTGAGATCTCATGGAATTGGTGCTGGGCAATTACACTCTTATCACCTCTCTGAGGTAGTGATATCTTTTGTGTCCAGAGGTGATCAGTTTAGTACAAAAATTCCTTTCAGACCCTAGTCATAGCTTTACAGTGAAAACAGTACTTCGTGCTATGCATCTGTCCCTTTGCAAACCACTCCAGCACAGCCCTTAGCCCTGAGAGGAAGGCTGCAGAATTTCACAGCACTGCCCAAATCATCCCCTGATTAGGTCACAAGATGATTAGTCTAGTTACATACATTCCCCTGATTGACGCTTGGTCCCAGACATTATAAAATAAAATAATTAATCTTCTTTGAACTGTCGTTGCAAATTTGATTTCACTCCACTTTTAAAGGCTTGAAAGTGTGGTAATACTCCTTTTAAAAATGTTGATTTCTTTCCTAGTCTTAGTTCTTTGACTCCCTGTGTACTTAACCCACAACTGCTTTGTAAATGTGGAGTGTCCCTCACCCCCTCCCCTGCCACAGAAAAGACCAAGATATTTTGGGTTCAAACTGTGGTTTTAAATACTTTTCCATTTTGACCGTTGGCATAATGTTGAATTTACCATGTTGATGAACGTCTCAATGTTTAGCTCTGACTGAAGAACACCGTGTTCCAGGCACTGTATGTATTTTACTCTATTGTACTGTGTAAGACTCCTATGAGGGAGAAAATAACAGCAACATCGTTAGATGAAGAAAGAGAAGCAGTAACTTTGGAATGTACTAAGTCACCAGTGGGCACAGCCATGACTGACTGAGCTTGTCTGTCCTTCCAAAAGTTTTTAAGACGGGTTACTTTTTGAGCTTCACACACACACACACACACACACACACACACACGCAAAATGTTAACTAGAGTGCAAGTTCTATGGAGTGGAAATCTCACCCTATGCATTCTTCGGCACTTTCTGTACTTTCTAGAGAGAGCCCTGTAAGAACCATCAGTAGAGCGCTGCTACACATGTTCTGTACAGCAGCCACTGTCACCTCGCTTTTTGGAGTTAACTCCCAATGTACTCACCTTAAGGTAGTGTCACAGGGAGGGTTAAGA